GCTGCTGCTGCTGGTGTTGCTGCTGGTGTTGCTGGTTCTCGTGCTGCTGGTGATGTTGCCGGTGCTCTTGCTGGTGGTGGTGGTGTTGCTGCTGCTGCTGGTGCTGCTGCAGCTGGTGCTGCTGCTGCCTGTGCTGCTGTTGATGCTGCTGCTTGTGCTGCTGCTGATGGTGGTGGTGCTGCTGCTGGTGCTGCCGCTGTTGCTAGTGCTATTGTTGGTGGCTGTGGTGCTGCTGTTGCTGGTGCTGCTGATGCTGATCACAGCATGCAGTGTAAAAACTACCTCGGAAGCGTTTTTTTCGGATGTCTCTCGGAACCATCTCGCGGCTCTCCTGCACTCTCCGTGGAGCCTCTTGGGGCTTTCTTGGGGCCCTCTTGGGGCTCTTTTGGGGGGTCTTGGGGCCCTCTTGGAGCTCTTTGGGGGGGGTCTGGGACGCTTCGTGGGGCCGTCTTGGGCCCCATTGTTCAAAAAGAGGGGGGTACTAAATTCTACCCCCCACTCGGAGGCTCAAACATGTCTTCTTGGGGCGCTCTTGGGCCATTCTTGGAGCGCCCTTGGGCGCTCTTGGGGCCGTCTGCGAGCTCTCTTGGGCCCCTCTTGGGGTTCTCTTGGGCCATCTTGGGGCCATCTTGCGGCCCCAAGAGCCCAACGGAGGCGAAACAGTGAGAAGGCAAACATCATTGCTGTTCCTTGGGTTCTTGAACTCTTGGGGGGGTCCCTGGAGGGCTCGGAGAGCACTTTGGGGCCGTCTTGAGGCCTCTTGGATGTGTGTCGGAGGCTATCTTGAGCCATCTACCGCTATCTTGGGCCATCTTGGAGGCCATCTTGCGCTCTCTAAGGCCCTCTCGGAGCCATTTTGAGCCAAAAAGGAACCTCTGCCACCTCGCGGGGGAGCCCGTCCAGACCCACGGAGGGGCGGGAGGTAAACCTCCCGAGCAGGGAAAGGAAGGAGGTTGGAAAAGAAAATGCCCTAGACCACCTGCGCCCAGAGGGCTGGTGGGACAAGAGGAGGAGGAGGGGGGGGAGGAGGAGGAGGAGGTGGAGGAGGAGGAGGATGGAGGAGGAGGAGGAGGAGGACGAGGAGGAGGAGCGGGGGGAGGAGACGAAGGGGGGGAGGAAGAGGAGGGAGAGTAGGCAGGGGGAGGAGGAGGGGGAGGAGCCTCGGAGGAGGAAGAGGAGGAGGAGGAGGGGGAGGAGAAGGAGGAGGAGGAGGAGGAGGAGGAGGAGGAGGAGGAGGTGGTGGAGGAAGCCCCGGGGACCGACATCACGAGCAATCGGCAGCGTCGGAGGAGGGCCCTGGCAGAGGTCAGGAGGACCTGTGCGCCACCCCGCCCTTCGGGCCGAGGCCAGCATGCTCTAGTGTCGTCCTTGTATGTTCCCTCCTCCTCCTCCTCCTCCTCCTCCTCCTCCTGCACTTCTCCAGAGCCGACGGCGTGGTTCGTTTACAACGTCCCCCCCTCCCCCCAGAAGTATGGACCCCTTTCCTGTGGACGGGATCTTCCTCCAGAGCCGATGTTTGGAGGTCCTGGGGCCCGGCGAGGGCCCTCGGAGGCCAGAGATTGCCACAAGCCTGCCGCCGTGATTTTGCCACGACGCGAGGACTGTCAGGGTCCATCCTGGAGCCCAGGACGGCCCCGACCAGGCACGCTGGTGGTGTGCAGGTGCCTTCTGCGGAGTGCCTTCCCGCGCGCGGGGTGTTCCGTAGCTGCTCCCCTCACCCTGCCGGGCAGCGCCAGAGGGGGTCACCACGCGGTGCCCAGACATCCGACGATGTGTGCTTTTCAGTGCGCGGCCCCAAGAGTTAGGTGCGAAAGAAGGACGTACACGTGCATGAATCCACGTTGGTTTCGAGAGTACGCATTTCACGAATGTTCGTATCGCGAGGCTGGTCTCGCGGACCAGGGGGCCGTGCTCATGTAGTTACGTGGGTGGGCGCGCACGCCATGTGCAGGCTCCCCAGGGGCAGTCGTCCTGGATCCGTTTTGAATGGCCCCGGGTTCCAGGAGCGGGCTCAGAGGCCGACATCCAGGAACAACGACCAGACGAAATACTCATGTCGTCAGAGATTTTGGGAAGCAGGGCGGACAAGACATCGGTCTGCCCGCTGGTGCCCCTAATTACGGTCGTGCCTTGTCGCCGAGAGAGGCCTCGGCCACCCGCGGAGGCACTGAGGCACCGTGGGAAGGCTGACAGCGGATGAGGACAGTGTTCCCAGCTTGCTTGGCGAGGACAGCTGAATTCTCAGAACATGTACGCGGAGGGGTCGCCACCTCCTCCTCCTCCTGAACATCGGGGATCAACCACGAGCAGCAGGGAGGCAGGATCGAGGCGGCTTTGTCACGTAGTCGGGTGTTTCGGGTTGCTGTGGTGTGTATGTGTGTGTATGTGTGTGCGTTCGGTGTGTTCGGTGTGTTCGGTGTGTTCGGTGTGTGTGTGTGTGTAATTATGTGTGTGTGTGTGTGTGTGTTCAGTGTGTGTGTGTGTGTGTTTGTGTGTGTACGTGCGTGCGTGCGTGCGTGCGTGCGTGCGTGTGTGTGTGCGTGTGTGTGTGTGTGTGTGTGTGTGTGTGTGTGTGTGTGTGTGTGTGTGTGTGTGCGTGTGTGTGTGTGTGTGTGTGTGTGTGTGTGTGTGTGTGTGTGTGTGTGTGTGTGTGTGTGTGTGTGTGCGTGTGTTTGTGCGTGTGCGTGTGCGTGTGCGTGTGCGTGTGCGTGTGCGCGTGCGCGTGCGCGTGCGCGTGCGCGTGCGCGTGCGCGTGCGCGCGCGCGTGCGCGCGCGCGAAGGTGTGTGCGCACGCGTTCGCGCGCGCGCCCGAAGGTGTCTGTGTGTCTGTGTGTCTGTGTGTCTGTGTGTCTGTGTGTCTGTGTGTCTGTGTGTCTGTGTGTCTGTGTGTCTGTGTGTCTGTGTGTCTGTGTGTCTGTGTGTCTGTTGACGCGGGGCCTATAAAGGCAAAAGGAGCCCACTGAGAGCCCAGGCCCACGTGAGGGGCCCTGGCCCACAGGGGCCTTCCCAAGACAGGAGGAGGGCGCTTCGGCCCCGAGAGCCTCGACGGCGTCGGAAACTCCTGCCTCGAGGGCGCAACGGCCCCGAGGCACAGCACGACACGTCCGAAGCTCTACCCCCGTCTATAGGGCATCTCCCGTACCAAGGAACATACAGGAGGCCACCCACTCACAGACTGCAAAAAGCACAGACTCATGCAAATACAGAAGGCCACTCACTCACACACTCGACGCGCGATCACATTCCGAGCAGGAGACCACTGCTAAGCAAACCAGCGGACGCATCTGCCAAGAACAGCCTCGCGCGTACTCTGAACCCTGAGAAGACCTCACTCGAAATCATTCTCGAAGTGGCTGTGCAAGCGGGCACAGACTGCAACAAGCACGCCCACATGCAAATACAGAAGGCCACTCACTCACACCCTCAACGCGCGATCACATTCAGAGCAGGAGAACACTGACAATGAACCAGCGGACGCTTCTGCCAAGAACAGCCTCGCGCGTACTCTGAACACTGAGAAGTCCTCACTCGAACTCATCTCCGAAGTGGCTGCTGCGCTCCAGCCGAGCGCACTGCTCGGCGAAGCTCGGCGAGCCCTGGGCTAGCCATGCGGCACGCTCGAGGTCGTACTCGGCAGCGCGCTCGCTGCCGTCGGAGAACTCGTCGATGAGGTACTGGCCGTGGTCGGGCCCGTAGTCCCTGAAGACCCCTGACACGGAGGAGACGTAGGAACTGCAATCGCCGCCCACGGAGCCTTCGACGTCCTCCTCGCGCTCGACGCTTCCAATTCCCCCTCGGAGGAGCGCAGCATAGTGATCTAGCAGGTACTGCGTGACAGCATCGTTGCGCTCGGCGGTGGCGGCAGAGAGGGTCGCGGAGCACACCGTGCTGTCCTGGCTCCCCTCGGCGCTCTCGCCCTCGCCGTGCCTGCTGTCGCCCTGCTCTCCAGTTGGGCCTCCCAGGTGCTCCAGCGGCGGCGGCGGCGCTCCAGCGCCTGCAGCACCGCCCACCTGGGGCCTCTCGGCACGACACGGCACCTGGAGGGCAGCTGCGCCGTCTCCCTCCTGCACCACGTCTGCCCTCCAAGCACCGTCACGGGGAGGGTCAGGCTCTGCCCTGTCAACGGGAGCCAGGGGCCCGCAGTCCAAAGCCGCGAGCACCTCCTCGGCGGTCTCCTCGCAGCTCAGCTGGCGGAAGGGCACGTACGGCGTGGCCCCGCTCCGCAGCGGCGTGCGCCTCGATCGGAAGGGCTGGGCGCATGACCGCAGGCTCGCCCTCGGCTCCGCTGGTCGCCCGAGCTTCACGGCGGGCTCGGCGACGCAGATCTCGACCTGTATCTCCAGCGGCGGCCGCGCCGCCCCCTCGCGGCTGGCACCGCCGTGGGCAGCACCAGCAGGCCTGGGAGCTGCTCCCAGGCGGGGCCCGCGCTCGGCCTTGCGCCATGCGGCCGGCTCCGCTCTGGCCGGCGGGCAGGAAGCGGCGTGCCAGGCCACGTTGCGCCGCCGCCTGGCTGCTGGGGCCTCGGGTCTGCCGGCGACGCGGGCCGCCAGGACAGGCCTCGCGATCGCCTCTCGCCGCAGCACCTCGGGGTCCCCCTCACTGTCGACCTTCGCCTCGAGCAGCTCGCGGAGCCTTGCGGCCTCGCCCCGGGCCTCCGCCAGCTCGCGCGTCAGCCGCTGCACAAGGCGGTCTGCAGCGAAGCGGGCACCAGCCACCCCACGCAGACCCTCCCGCGCCATCTTGCCCGAGCGCGCCCAGGCACGGCTTGAGCCAAAATGGCTACGGAATGTGTCTGTATGTCTGTGTGTCTGTGTGTTTGTGTGTCTGTGTGTCTGTGTGTCTGTGTGTCTGTGTGTCTGTGTGACTGTGTGTCTGTGTGTCTGTGTGTCTGTGTGTCTGTGTGTCTGTGTGTCTGTGTGTCTGTGTGTCTGTGTGTGTGTCTGTGTGTGTCTGTGTGTCTGTGTGTCTGTGTGTCGTGTGTGTCTGTCTGTGTGTCTGTG